CTAGAGTCAGGAAGACTCTTCTTTCCGAGTTCAAATCTGGCCTCAGATACTTACTAGCTATGTGACCACGGGCAAGTCACTTCACCCTTTTTGCCTCAGTTTTCTCATCTGTAAAATGAGCTGGAGAAGAAAATGGCAAACCACTCCAGTATCTTTGCCAAGAAAATCCCAAACGGGGTCATGAATTCATTATTGAATGACAAAAATCAAATTATTACCCCCAAAGATTAAGAAGATATCATATCACTCCAATGTCATATCACTTTTTCTCCTTTATACAATCCTCATTTATACAGGTATTAAGGACATCCTTGAAATTCTGAGACTGGAACAGATAGACTTTCTTAGATGATTCTCTACGACTGGTTACATCTTCACTGTCACACAATTGACCGAAAGGTGTAGAGAAGACAAAATCCTGTTATGTTTATTGTTTATTGACTACAAGAAAAATATTTTATGTGATAGAGCAAAAAGCTACCTAAAAGGCTCTTCTACAACCAAGTGCTTCCTATGTACATGCTAAGATCATATAATATTCCTTGATAGATTCAGCCACAGTGATAACTTTTTCAAACGGGCCACTGATTATCAAAGTCAAGTGAGGTATAAAATGGGGAAAAATATGCTTGCCAGCAGTATTTGCCATTGTCGCAGAAAATATTCTGAGTAGGGTTCAAATGGAAGAGGGATTCACTATAAATAATGAGGTCTACCAAATGCTTCTGTTTACAGATTATTTTGATTTCAAGTTCTAGGATGCCTTAAGGACTTTCTTCTCAGTTAACTCCCTGGCTACTTGAGGAATCACACTAACAATCCAAGTGGATGAAAAATGCCTAATGCTCAGACTATGACATAAGAGGTAGATAGGCAATTTGTTTAGTTACTTTGGCCCAGGAGCATCAAGGGCACCTATCACCAGAGGCGACATCTTCACCTTCCACTGGGCTGTGTGTGGAGGGGGAGGGTAATGGGAAGATGGCCCAAGACTGAGGGTGATGATACCCATTTTCCTCTCCTCTTTGGGGAGTTAGACATAGGCTAGTCTGGGGTTGGAGGATCAAGGTGGAAGGCCCCTCGGACTTTGGCTCTAGGATGGGAGGAAAGGCAGGCTATCCCCTTTTCTCCACCAGGTGGTGTACTCTCTAAGAAGGCAATTTCCCAGTTCCCTTTCTCTCTAGAACAATACATGGTCTTTAAGGTCCTCTTCAACTCTGAATTGATAGTGCTATCCTGGGAGCTACACCTGGCCTAAAGTCTGTTGTCCAGTCGAGTGGGTTCCAATGTTTCAACAAAAAAATGTGCTTGAACCCTCAAGTCATTTCATATGCTACTTATAATATTCTGCAACTATATATTAGCTTTAGCCTCAAACACCTGGACCATTGCTCCCCAAGGGGTTTGCAAACCCTTAAATGGGTACCACCTGGTAGGTTTTTTAGGCTGTGTGACCCGTAAATAGTGTAGTAAATAAGATGTAGGAATGTCCTGCGGACTTAGGAAGTGTCCAAACATTCATATCATCACATATTACACATTAAAGAAGCATAATTCTGTGAACACAAAATAAAACTTTTCTTATAGGAAGAGTAGAGGTCTTTTATCATAATGTTCTTCATGCCCTCTAGTGTCAAAGTAAAGGCATTATTCCTGTTGATTCAAAATAAAATCTAAAGTTAAATATCCTGGTCGTATGGTCTACAGATCTTTTCTAGTCCTCAATAGAAGAAGGTCACTTTTCTGGGAGTGGATACTTTCCTCATTTTTAGGTTATGAAATGCTCAAATCCCAACTCAACCCAACATACATCATTAAAATAGCAACTTACAGTGCTTTGGGGCTTGCAAAGTACTTTCCAAATGTTATCTCATTTGAGCCTTACAGCAACCCTTCGAGGCTGGTGCTATCATTAACCTCATTTTACTGATGAGGAAACTGTGGTTAAGTGACTTGCCCAGGGTCACAGAATTGTGTGAGGCCAGTCTTCTGGATTCCAGGCCCACTGCTCTATCCACAGTGCCACATAGCACTTACAGAGTGCAAGGCCATCTTACTTTTTGTGGGCAGCCAAAATGGATGGGATCAACCAAAGCCTTGGCAGCACAGACCTGCTGAGGCAGCAGGAGTCAGAGCCTAATGCATTTGAGTGCATGTGGCTATATGGAGAAACTGGAAGGCCTGTCAAGGGAGAGATTTAAAATGTACGCAAGCCGAAAATATCATTGCTCAGGAAAACCAGTGTTGTCCTCTATTTATTCATAATGATCCCCAATTTAGTCAATACACACTATTCACTATGATTATTACTGTTTCAATGATACTTCAATGATCAAATGAGATAATATTTGTTAAATGCTTAGTTAAGTACCTGGCACATAGAAGGTGCTATATAAATATTTTGGGGCAGCTAAGTGGTGCAGTAGGTAGAGCTCTGGACCTGGAATCTGGAAGACCTGAGTCTATTTATTTATTTTTCATGGGAAGCCTGGGTTTGCTTTATCCTCCCCTTCCACTTAATTGTATTTTATTTTTTCCAATTACATATAAAGATAGTTTGCAATTTTCACTTTTTTTTTCTTTTTGGTGAGGCAGTTGGGGTTAAGTGACTTGCCCAGGGTCACATAGCTAATAAGTGTCAAGTATCTGAGGCCAGATTTGAACTCAGGTCCTCCTGACTCCAAGGCTGGAGCTCTATCCACATTGCCACCTAGGTGCCCCTCAACATTCACTTTTATAAGATTTTGAGTTCCAAATTTTTTTCTCCCTCCCCTTTCCCCCATCCACAAGATGGCAAGCAATCTGATGTAGGTTATACATGTACAGTAATATTAAACATATTTCCACATTGGTCATGTTGTGAAAGAGGAATCAGAACAAAAGGGGAAAACCACAAGAAAGAAAAAGCAACAGTATCAACAAAAAGAGAAAATAGTCTGCTTCGATCTGCATTCAGACTCCATAGTTCTTTCTCTGGATATGGATAGCATTTTCCATCATGAATCTTTTGGAATTGTGGAAGACCTGAGTTTAAATCTGGCCTCAGACACTTACTAGTTGTGTGACCCTGGGCAAGTCACTTCACCCTGTTTGCCTCAGTTTCCTCATCTGTAAATGAGTTAGAGAAGGAAATGGCAAGACATCCTAGTATTTTTGCTTAGAAAACCCCAAACTCGGTCAGACGTGACTGAAACGAGTGAACAACAACATATAAATGTTTATGCCCTTCCCTTCCCCACAAATTTCAACGACACTTCAATGAGTCTGTGATCTTATCAATGGGGGTGCTTTCTTCCATGATGCACATCTCAAGGCATCCATGGCCTTTTCAACTTGTGTAACTCTTGTGTGACTCCTCTCATAAAACCTCCAAAAGGGGTTCACCGAATACATTAGGTGTTCCTTTAGTTCTTTTGACGTGTGTGTTGTCCATCGGTGCTCCCTGACTCATGCCAAGCGACAGCACACTTCTCTTTTCCAGTCAAATGTCTCTCTGATGGTATCCTTTTATATGGTTTCCCTTGCTCGGTTCTTGGTTGTCAATGTAGTGGTACCTGCACCTGCAAAAGTTTAATTATCTGTAGACCCTAATATTCCATATAGCATCATGCACTGGAAAAATCTTGTTGGAAAAGATGAGCCTTTTTTTAAAGGAGAAGGGTTGGTTGGTTGTTTTTTGGGAGAGGTCAACATTGAAAACAATCCACAGTCATTGTTAATAATAATACTCTATACTTTTCAAAGCACTCTCACCTACATTTGATCCTACAGGTTTTATCGTGGAGGGTTTTTGGTGTCCCCGTTTCACAGATCAAGAAAGGAAGCCAGCAGTTTACTGACTTGGTGTCCCAGAGCAAGTTAGTAATAAAACCAAGAATACTGTGTTTGGAAGCATAGGAAAGAAACAGTAGCACTAGTCCCTGCACTCCTGATACCACAATCTAGTAGGAGAGATAGAGCTTACTTACACCTAAGTATCTGCTAACCATCCCACCAGCAGGGGAAGCTTGCCTGCCTTTTTGAAATCCAGTCACTTGTGAACCTGATGATAAATCTCTGAATCTGGTTCTTTATTTTCTCAAGTTCAAACAAACAAACACTCCTCTCTTTCATTAACATTTATTCCTTGTCAGATCTGCCCAGTGTAGTGGGAAAAGCACTGAGTCATTTCATTTCTCTGGACCTAAAACCATTATTCTGAGAGGCAGTCTATATAGCTCATACCAGTCAGCCACAAGGGTACAGGAGACAAGGTTTAAGAAGCCCTGCTTTACGGTCCCTTCCATCTCTAAGTCCTTTGATTACTTTGAACACATTTGCTAGGAAGCAGATTCACCCCAGAACAAGCACATTCACCAGACAATTGTAAATGCTTCTGAGCCTCCATATTTTGCATATGAAAATCTGGAAGGTGAATTCACTCTTGGAGGTCAGACCTTGTGGTTATTCTCAGGTATGCCTTTTTCCACCTTCTAGGGGCAGGCCGACCTAGAAGAGACCTTTCAGGTTTCCAATTAGGTGATGGCCTCCCCTGGGGCAGTGGTTTGATAACCAGAAAGGCTCTCAAAAGAATGAGCCGTTTGCTTTCAGTGTAAAATGATAAGAGGGCTCACAAAAATATTTTTTAATGCATATAAAGTGACCCCCAAATATAGTAAAGCTTAAAACCGTACTAAGACTTTTGGGACACGCTGGAAGAGTCCTGGACCAGTGATGGTGCGTGCAGTTCCCTTTCTCTTCTGTAGAGGGCGGTGCAGAGTAGGGGCGTTTGCGTTGAGGTGGGGACCCAGCAGGTATGGGTAAGGCTCATTCTGCCAGGGGCGGGGCGTGCGCGACGTCAGAGGCGGGGCTATTCCCTCGCCACGCCCCCAGTTCGCCCAGAGCGTGTAGCGATTGGCGGGGAGTCATCGCTTAACAGCGCTTGTTGGCGGAGGGAGGAAGAGGGCTGCGTCCGGGGAGGGGAGAGGATTGGGTGACGCCAAGGCGGTGGCGGCGGCGGCCCCGTCGTATCTTCTCGCTGTCCTCTCGCGCAGGTGAATGGCTGCGGGATGGAGAGCGAGGGGAGCGGCGGGAGCGGGGGCTCGGCCGGGCTCCTGCAGCAGATCCTGAGCCTGAAGCTGGTGCCGCGGGTGGGCAACGGAACGCTGTGCCCCAACTCCACCTCCCTCTGCGCCTTTCCAGGTACCGGCCGCGCCTGCGCGAGGACCATCCCCCCCTCCTCACCCGGGACAGGGAGTGGTGCCCTGCCCCCGTGCTGTCACGTGACGGCTGCCGGGAGCCGTCCCCTCCGGCGCGAGGGCCGCCCCCTGACCCGAGACCTGCCGCGGCTGCCGCAGGGCGGAGAGGACAGCTCGGGCCCCTGCGTAGACAGGGGCGGAGCGCCGTCGCTTTCCCGAGTTTCCTGGCCGGGGCGAGTGTCTGGTCGCTGGACCTCGGGCCACGGTTGTGGCCTCTCAGGTCCTATGTAGTAGGGGGCAGACGGGGCGGGGGAGGAGGGCGGGACTGGCTCTCTTTAAAAACATCCCGACCACTTATAATAATAGTAACAGCTCGCGTCTGTGTCGGTCTGAAGCACGTTACAAGTGTCATCTCCTTTGTTCCGTACCAGAACCCTGCGAGGTTAGAGCTTTCTGTTTACACACGGGGAAACTGAGGCAGGCGGAGGTGAAGCGAGTGCCCAGGGTCACACAGCCGGCAAGTGTAAGAGGCAGGGTTTGAAGGGACCGCGATCGTCCCCAGCGAACGCGTATGAAGGGTTCTAGGAAATAGCAGGCCAGAACGGGGCTGCCAGGTGGGCCGCACCGGCCTAGCCTCCCTTAAACCGGGCCCGTTGGGGTAGTTGTGGTCTGTCCCTGTCCAGTCCGGATGGGTGTGCACCACCTGGCATGCAGGTGTTCTGACTAGTTCGTGAAATATCTATGGCAGAATGAATAATCAAGTGGGAATAGATGCCGCCCCTTGTAGTTTGTAATCATGGCTAGAAACATACAAAAACGTTTAGACAGCATATCGCTCCTAAATAAGTTGAGTACAGAAAGTGTAATTTTTTTAAAAAGTCAGAAATTCATATGTGCCCTGCAGCCGTAGCGGAGCTAGACTCAGATTGTCTCTTTTTAAAAAATGTTACCTCTTATGTTTGTGTGGACTGAGAAAAATGGATATGAAGAGGCAGTGCCAGATAATTTTTCAAAGTGATAGATGAAGAGCATTGGTCTGAGGAGTTAAGGGGCTGCCGCTTATGAGCTGTTATCATGGGCGAGTGGTTTCTTAACATCTCTAAGCCTCAGTTTCCTCACCTGTAAAAGAGAGGGTTACACTAGTTGATTTAAGTCCCTTTTGGTTCTAATGTTTTCTGACTTGAATGCTTACTTTTCATACATTCTCATTTGATTCAATTTTTTAAAAAAAAATTATCACATGGCTACTACTGCAAGGCTCTGGAAATACAAAGACAGAGTAAGACATAAATCCTGGTTTCAGGGAGCTCACAGTTTGAGGTGAGGATAAAATGTGTGTCCAGATAGCTGTAATACAAGTTAGAATATAGAATAGAGTCACCAGTGATTCAAGAGATCTGAGGAGTGGGAGAGCTAAAATTCCTAGATGGAGTATCAAGGAAGGCGTCCTGGAGGAGACCTTACCTGAGTTATCTGAGCATTGAAGGAAGGAAAGGATTTTGGTGTTTGATCCTTTTATCAGCCCTGCGTCTTAGGAAGTACAGTTATTATGCCCACTTTTAAGATAAGGCAATCTGATCAGATTGGTTAGTGGTCTAGACACAAAATTCTAAATATTAAGTGGGCACAGCATGACTTGAACACACATAAGCTTCCAAGTCCAGTACTTTTGCTAATCCAACTGTGATATAGTGGAAAGAACGGGAAAGAAAGCAAATCTTTGTAGGGGGCAGAGGGAAGGCAAGGAGATGTGGGTTCAAGACTTGCCTCTGATAACACACTGGCTGAGTGACCATGTACAGTATTTAAAGGGTTCCCCAAACATCTGTATTTACATATAGACATTTCCATACTGGGAGTTCCCCAGATGGAGGAGATCATAGGTACGAACCTGCCAAAGAAGCAGTGACTATCCTGGTCTACTTTTAGTACTGAAAGGTATAATCGTTCTGGGTACAGAAGATTTTCTTCTGTGTGCCTTATAACTTAAAAAGCATTTCTAACAAGTTATTCTATTGGCTTTTGGGTGGTTGTAAATACAGTAAGTATAGTGATAGCCTTTAAATTGATCTTGGTTGAAATTCTAAAACCTACTTCAATTTAGCATATACGAGGTATCCTGAATTCACATAGTTCCCATTTTGGTCCCAATGAAAAAGTTACTTGGGTTTTGTTGTCCACTCAGCATGGAAAGTCATTGCTTTGAATATCATGATGTTTATCACTCAGGAAATTATAAATTGATTTTTTTCCTATTTGCATTTGTATTTGGCTCCTGGTCTTTAGTATAACTCTCTTTACACTTATTCACCTTTTTTTTTCCAGCCAAAGACAAGATTTATTAAAGATCCTCCATATTGGCCAGACTCTTAAGGAATCTGAGCATTTGTGAGCTAATGGCTAGGTTCTTAAGGAATCTGAGCACCTTAATGGAGACAAAATGGACCTTATATACAGAAAGACTATGGGAGGATCTAGGAGTGGCCAGGTAGTCTCTAGGGGGGGGGACTGTGAGTTAATAGAATACCAGGCACCTGGACCATTTGGCCAAGGGAGGATGGAGCTTAGATAGGATTAAGGGTGGGAAGTGGCCCATTTATTTACTTTTTAAGAAAACACATTTGATTCTTTCTTCTTCTCTGGTATGGCCCTTTGAATCCATAAGTGATGAAACCTTACATCACAGAATTTTCACATTTTGTAGTTGGAAGAGCCTTCAATGGCTGTCTAGTCTATCCCATACCTGAAAGAAGTATTCACATTGAACTACTTACTGTTCTTTTAGTCTCTGTTTAAGACCTTCAGTGAGGGGAAACTCATTACCTCCTGGAACAACTCATTAGAACAGCTAGGGTTGTACAGTGGATTGAGTGCCTGGCCTGGAGTCAGGAAAACACGAGTTCAAATCAAATCTCTGATACTTACTAGCTGTGTGATTATGGGCAGGTCACTTAACCATTGCCTACCTCAGTTTGCTCATCTGTAAAGTGGCTGTAATAATAGCAGTCACCTCCCAGGTATTTGAAGGCTGGTCAACAGAGAAGTTAGGGCAGGATAGGTAGATTTGAGAGTCAGCATAAAGATAGTAATTAAATCCATGGGAGCCTGAATCACCAAGTATAGTATAGTGGGAGAAGAGAAGGCCCAGGACAGAACCCTGAGGGACACTTATAGTTAGAGGTCTGATCTGGCAGAGGATCCAGCAAAGGAGAGAGAAGGAGCCGTCGGAAAGGTAGGAGGAGAACCAGGAGACAGAGGTGTCCCCAAAAAAACTAGAGAGAAGAGAACATCCAGGATAAGAGAGAGATCAGCAGTGTCAAAGGCTGCAGAGAAGCCAAGGAGAATGAAGATTGAGAAAAGGCCACTGGATTTGACAACTAAGAGACCATTAATAGCTTTGGAGAGAGCAGTTTTGGTGGAGTGATAAGATTGGAAGCTAGATGGTAAGGGGGGTAAAAAGAGAGTGAGATGAGAGAAAGTGGAGGCAGCTATTGTAAATGTCCCTTTAAGCAATTTAACTACAAAAGTCAGAAGAGAAATAGGATCATAGTTAGCAGGGATAGAAGGATCTAGTGAGGGGTTTTTCAGTATAGGGCAAACACAGGTGTGTTTCTAGGCAGTAGACAGGGAGATAAATTGAAAATAAGTGAAAGAGTGGGGATGACAGAGGGGGCAATCTGTTGGAGGAGACGGGATAGAATGGGATTGCTTGAACTTAGTAAGGGAGTTAGCCTTGGTAAGGAGTAAGGCCACTTCATCATGTGAGACAGGAGTGAAGGAGGAGAGTGGCAGAGGGCACCAGAATGCTGGGAGATGAGGAAGAGGGGAGAAGAGGGAGCTCATGGAGAATGGCCTCCATTTTTTTCTGTAGAAGGTGAGGCAGAAGCAGAGGGGAAGAGGGAGTCTTCATGGGGGGTTTCAGGAGGGGTGAGAAGGCGTGGAAGAATCACTGTGGAGAGTGTGAGAGTGTATCGATGAGGGAGGTATAGCAGCAGCACCTGCTCCATCCCCTCTCCTGAATGAATATTGCTCTCCCCTGCCACTTTCACCACCTTTGGATAGGCCCTCATCACTTGACACCCGGATTATTGCACTAGCCTATTGATTGGTCTCCTAAAGACTCTTCTCCATTCAGCTATCAAGCTGATCTTTGTAAAGCATAGTTCTGACCATGTCTCTCTCTCTCTCTCACACACACACACACACACACACACCCAGTTCATTAAACTCCAGTGGCTCCCCGTCACCTCCAGGATAACTCAAGTACAAAATCCTCTGGTTTTTAAGGCCCTTTGTGGCCCAGCCCCTTCCTACCTTTCTAGTCTTCTTCTACCTTCCTCCCCTCTATGTAACACTTTGATCTAGGGACACGGCCTCCTTGCTGTTCCTCAGATTGACGCTCCATCTCACATTCTGAGCATTTTCACTGGAATTCTCTTCCTCCTCATCTCTATCCCCCAGCTTCCCTTATTATCTTCAAGTCTCTCATTTTGCAAGAAGCCTTTCCCAGTCCTCCTTAATCTTAGTCTCTTCCTCTTGAGTTTGCCCCCAATTTATCCTGTCTATAACTTGTTTGTACATAGTTGTTTGCCTCTTGTCTCTCCCGTGGGATTCTGAGAGTCCCTTGAAAGCAGGGACTGTTTTGTTTATTTGTTGCCTCTCTTTGTATCACTAGTGTTTCTCACAGTACCTGGCATATAGTAGGTGTCTAATAAATGCTAGTTTACTGACAGACTGACCCCTCTCTTAGATATTCTCTCTTTGATGGTGACTAATCTCTTCTGGTTCGTCTCCTGACGCTTTCTCCGGCCTTCTACTTTGTTGGGTATCTGCATGTCCAATCTCCATTCATCTCCTGAGCTCCAGTGCTTTTCCACTGACTTGGCTGCTGGACTTTTCACTTGGATGTCCCAGAGACATCTCATATTTAGCATGCCCCCAAATAGAATTTATTATGTTTCCCATTAAACTGGCACGTCTTCTCTCGGTTTCTGTTGACACACT